CACGTACAAGGAGCCTTCCTTCTTACCTCGAACAACTACCGAATTTCCCTTGGCCAATTTCCATCTACCACTTTTGAAGTAGTTCACTAACCCGACATCATTAAGCTGTCTACCGAGATTAGGTTTAGTCGCATGTCATGAACATGCCTTACATCTTTCAAAACAAGTCTGCACCCAACATCCGTGGTCAGGGTCACATCACCGACACCAATTATTTTACTGGTCACCTGGTTTCCCATATTCAGTGCTCCAAAATCACCACCTCGTTAAGAGGAGAAAAATCTTTGTGTAACGCCCGGCCGCTTCAAGAATCAACGACTATCCCCACATACTAACACGAGACTTTTCAGTGTGCTTTTTCCTCACTCGCACACTTCCCGGGAAAACTTCCCAGGAGGTCACCCATCCCAGAATTGCTCCAAGTCAAGCACGTTTAACTGTGGAGTTCTTCCGATCCGGGTTACCGAAAATCAGATGCATCTTGTTAGTATAGGTAGTACCAATTAATTCTTATAAGTTATCCAAAACTGTGCAGCCTTATACCTGCACAGCCTTTGGAATCCTTCTCTTTCGGGTGTCGATTCGATTCATGCATGCATGTAACCCCCCGCTGGAAGCCTGTCAGGAGCCGCTCCTTGTCCGTGCCTCTTTGCACCGGCGATCACTCCCCGCCCTCGTCAGCGCTCGGGATGTTACATGCCCACCAGCTTCCGCATGGTTCGTCCTCGAACCACACTGTACTAGATGAGAGGCCCTGCTCTGATACCACTTGTAACGCCTGGCAACTTACAAGGATTAACGACTGTCCCCACACACTAACACGAGACTTTTCAGCGTGCTTTGTCCTCACTCGCACACTTCCCGGGAAAACTTCCCAGGAGGTCACCCATCCCAGAATTGCTCCAAGTCAAGCACGCTTAACTATGGAGTTCTTCCGTTCCGGGCTACCGAAAAGAAGATGCATCTTGTTAGTATAGGTAGTACCAATTAATTCTTATAAGCCATTCCCAACTGTACCGTCTCATACCAGCACAGTCTCTGGAATCCCTGGGTGTTGATTCGATTCATTCATGTACCCCCGTCCCTAGAAGCCTGCCAGGAGCCGCTCCTTGTCCATGCCCTTTCGCACCGGCGATCACTCCCCGCCCTCGTCAGCGCTCGGGATGTTACATGCATCATCAATACATGCCTCAAAATAAGATTACATTTATATGATCAGCAACAGTAAAAGTCAAAAAAGGGAGATTTATTGGAAATGAGAGATTTGAAAGGGGAGATTTGCATTTACATGCTCAGCAACATTTACGTGTTCAATAACAGTGATTACATTTACATTTACATGATCATACACGTATTGAAGTCAGAAAATGGAGATTTGTTGGGCCTATTCCTCCTTCAATGCCCAAGGCCCATTGAGGGGTTTGAAAAATCCTAACCCCTAAACCGTCTTCTTTCCCTATAAAAGTATTAGTTGTGGGGTGGAGATAAGGTTGGCTTGAGAGACACTTTGAGGGTTTTGTGAAGAAAGTTAAAGCTTTGATTTTGAGAGCACCTCTAAAGGGAAGTTTGAAGAGTGAAACCTCTTCAGGGAAGTTTGAGCGAATACCACCATTGTAGGTGAGGCTTGAGCCTACCACCATTATTGGTGAAATTTGATATCTTATAGCCCATTATTTCATAGTGGAGGTTTGATTATGGACTAGTGTCCCATGGGTTTTTATTTTTTTACATTGAAGAAGGTTTTTTCACGTTAAAATCTGCTTGTGTTCATTTTTTTTCTCTCTCTCTCTCCTTCGTAATATTATGTTTCTGCTACGATTAGGCCGACTTGGTGAGTTCATGCCGACCTCTTTGATTGTACCGAGCTTCGAGCTCGACGTTTGACTTCTGTAAAGGCTTTTTAGCTGAGATTGAGGGATCGAGTTCGTCGCTACAATATGTAGGCATTCCATCAAGTCCAGTTCATATCTTAACTTGTAACTATTTTTTTTTTTACATAACTTAATGAAAAGAAAATATGGCTAAACAATCACACAAGATGTGGGGTGAATTGTGTGTTTCTTCTTCTTCAATAAATAATTAAAAACGCAACACTTATAAATAGAACTTCAACCAAAATAAAATATTCACATATTATAGCTTTTTCCCAACACAAAACATATTTAAAACATATTACAAAACATCTAATTCAGTAAAATCGAAACAACGAAATCAAAATTAAATGGGAAAAGAGAAAAAATCAATGTTTATGGCAACACCATTCAAGAAATCATGCAAGAACGAAATAAACTGAAAACTATCAATACCAATCTCTTAAACAGATTCAAAACAACATATTAATTGATCAAAATCAAAGAGATAAGGGTAAGAAAGAATCATATCAGAATATATCCTCGTTCACTCTATAACCACTTGAGAGCTACATCCAGATTGAGGTCAATCCGTTCACTAAGTTCTAGCTTCCAACTGGTGCCAGAAAAACTATTTTACAATGGAGTCTTTTACAAGTTCATGACCAAACCTTTGATCACACTCAACCTATCGCCTATAGGGTTTCTGCAATTCACCAAAATCAATTACAACAATTCACTCTTGCCAAACAAATGTAGAGAAATCTCTCTACGCCAAATACAATAAAAAATATCATAAAAAAATTGAGAAACGAGAGAGTAATTAAGTTTTTCCTCTAGGATATGCAAAAGTAGACCAATTGGGGTTCAATTATGAATTCTATGTGATTTCGTATTTTTCAGTGTTCATTCTTATTCAGAATTCCTAAAACAATGTATTTATAGGTGCCTAAAAGAGTTAATAGCCGTTTATAGTCGTACATCTAAAAATTAGAATTACTTAAGCTTTAAGTCACTTATGACAGCAAGTAATCAATTACTTTGCGGGGAGTATTTGATTACTTTTATGCAGATGACAGTTTCTTGCTGTCTTTTCAAAATTTAATGCATCTAAGTGATTTGTAGTGACTTTTAAATGATTAATAGTGACATCTAACATATGTATGATCATGTTCCACACTTATATAACAACTCTTGATGTGTGTGTAATCTTGTATGCATGATCAAAGTGATGTGTCACTAGTGCATGAGTTTATGGTCTAATTATACATTTTTCAAGATAAAACTTAATAAACTCATTCCTATAAGTTTTATACTGTGAAGACATTACAAACAGTAAGTATATGAGTCTTCATTAGTCTTCATAGTTTGAGCTTTATAACATTTCTTTTAACTTGACAAACTTTGACTTCAAGGTTGATTTTTCATATTTGAGTATTCCCTTCAAGTTTACACTTTGCTCTAGTCTTCTAGTACTATTTGAAACTAGTTGCCATGCATTCCATTTAGATCATCCATGTTGAGATATATTGGTTCATTGTAAATGCTTTGTTATCATCAAAACTTCACAAATATAGTCTTCATGACCTATGGTTCAATACTTAATAATTTGTAAGTATTAAATTTAATAGAAGAACGTTTCTACCAAATTCCAAAAGTATGAAAATCTGCCACCACATAATTTTTTATTGAGAAAATAAAGGATCAGTGTAATTTTACTTCTCATAAATCAAAAAATAATTCTCCACAAGAGTGCCTTGGCAGATTATTCTGTAACACTATAGGAATAGGGTGGCCCAGATTTTGTAGCTAGTCTTTTGTTTTTTGTTTTTGTCTTAATGTTAATTTCCAAAAAAAGAAATTCTTTGATTTTAACTTTATATTTTTCAAAAAAACTTAGATCATGTACAAACCTTTAGTTTTGAATAAAATAATCGGACTACTATTTTTACTGTTCAAAAATTAAAAATCATTGACTTTTAGATTAATGCTTCACTACAACCGATTCAATCATACAATAACCACTAAATACTTACTATGCATTTGGATTAAGTTTGAAAAAATAAAATCATTCGACAATTGATTGTAGGAATCAATTTATTATTTGAAAATATTAACCTACAAATGTTTTGAAAATAATATATTTTGTTTAAAATGTATAAAAAATTATTTCTATGAAATACAATATCAAAATACATATGAATTTTTTTAAAATATTAATTTCTGGAGAATTAAGTATTTCTGCTAAATAAATTTAAAAATGAAAAAATCAAGAATAAGAAGATTGAAATTATATTTCCTAGAGAAAAATTTACCATCAACTTTTAATTTAACAAGCCAACATGTTATAAAAAAATTAAAATATAATAAAAAATTTAAAATAATACAAGAAAATTGCACTTAAATATTTATTTTTTGATATACGGTACCAACCCTTTGAGATGAGTCAGTCCCTAATATTACCACAAGCTTCAACTTTTTGAGCCGGCTTTAAGGTTAATCCGAGTTGGGGTTTAGTCGCAATTAAAGCTTTTCGTCACTCTCCAAATATGTATTTGATGAAAATCAAACTTAAGTTTTCTACCAACCTACGCAACCCTAAACACTTAAGATAAAGTGTGAGTATATGTTACATTATGATTTCTTTTAAGAAAAAAATTAATTAATTTTTTTATTCAATTCAGTTTGATCCAATTCGAACTTTGCAGAGGACAATTTTCCTAATACCATTAAAAAAATTTGAAGTTAGGAAAGCTTAATTTAAAATTTAAACACACACTTGTTATATTAATGCTATTAAGTTTTAAAGGGTTTGATATTTGTTTCTTTAAAGGATATAGAATTATGTTATTTTAAGTAAAAGAAAGAAAATGAAATTTATGGAATAAGAAAGTGGATGATTTTTCTTAATTTAAATTTTAAATAAAAAATTTTAATTTATATATTTCTCTCACTTAAAATGACATAATTATCGATTATCCATACGAAAGGTTTAGCGGTCCAGTTCGGTCCATATTTGTTGTGGCGTGAAGCAGCCCAGCCCAGCCCATTCTGGCTCTGGCTGGCCCAAATTAGCAGGTTTCGGAATGCGTGGGGTCCACTAAAATCCGAAATCAATCGATCAGCACCTCTGTGAATTGAGGCATATGATTTCGATGATGGAAATCTCCATCTCCGTTTTCAGATCATCGTTGTTTGTATTGTTTATCTTTCACTTTTCATCCACAGTTACTGCTATCAGGAAGGATATTAGCTTTCAAATCGTTCCTATTTGTAATAACACTGTTCAAGGAAGATACCTTCTCTCAGATGACAACGGTAAATGTCCACTACTCCCCTAATCATCCTCTTTTCTCATTCTTCACCAATTTCGTGCCCTAACAAATTTTTTTTTTTTTATTTTTTTTATTTTCTTAAATCATGATATTGTATACAATATTTGCATTTGTAGGTTATGTATGCAATGCTCTCTCTGTTAATTCACAGTCTCGTTGTTGTCCTCAGACTGGGGAGAAATTCTCTTGTCAGTGAGTTTGTTTTTCCTAACTGCTTTGATTTCAAAGGGAACTGAGATATCTCACGCTTCTGACTTTTTTTTTGTTTTGTTTTGTTTTTGTTTTTGGCAGTGGATGCAATCTTCTTTCACAGTGTTGCAAATCTTACGAATATTGTGTTTCGTGCTGCCTCAATCCTGCACTGGTAATATAATCTCTTACGTGTTATTTGCAACTCATGATATTCTATCGTCCCATTGAGGAAAGGCCTAACTCCTAAGTGTGCATTGGCTTAATATTAAACAGACAAGTAAGAAACAAGTGCTCAACATGAAGATTGCCAAACCAGCTTCTGCAAGTAACTTTTCTATCTTGTTACTTTGCAATTTTATGTGGTTGTAAACTTTGTGTTTAAAGCCTTCAATTGACTAGCCTACTAGACCTCTCACTTCATAGATATTTGCCTTGATCACTAATATAAAGAAAAGGGAAACATTGCTCGAACAGGACTAGTCGGATAATAGATGAATTGGTTGAGAAACTTAAAAAAAAAAAGGGAAACTTGGTGCTGTAAAGGTCTTGCACTGACCATCCTCCTTGGAAGGGGCTATAGCCAGCCTTACCTTGCATTTACTGGTATTTGATTACATGAATTGAACTGGTGACCCAATATGTTTCTAATTAATATTGCATGTAAAATGGAAGGCTTTGATGATAAGGATAAACATGAGATTATCCTCCTTCTATTTCTCCCTCCCAATTTTGGCTATGTTGTCTGGCTGCTTACTGGTTCTTATGTGACCAAAAATCTCCTATGCATGTTGGAGTAATATAGATATAGCCAGAGTTTGATTTATTCGTTCCAACGGACATCATTTGACTTTTGGCAGGGGCTTATGCAAGTGTTTTTGAGTACTGTGCTGGGAGATGCCGTCATAGTTCTGAGAGTGTGGTGAGCGTACTCCTACACTCTTGCTATCTTGTTGTTCTTGAAGTTGTAACTTTGTTTCTATCTTCTTATGCAATTATACACTTATTAACTTAAATAACATACCCTCCCAGCATTAACAAGGTTACTTATTCTATTTTTTTCCTGGCAACTTATCTTCTTGTCAGACTTGATTTGGAAGCTTTGCATATTAGTCTATTTCTAGGCATTTATGAGGAAGGAGTTGACTGTGTTCCCATGTGCTTTTCATATCAATTTATTTGTAACATATTTTTTACTCTTTGATTTTGTCTCACAATTACCAGGGTATATGACCCTATCCCTTTTAGTCTGTTATGCATGAATTTACCTTTTATAACTTTTTTCCTTATACATGTAAAATGGAGTCAGATAGAAGTAAAGATTTCAGACATAAGCAAGAGTAAGAGGAGCTTACATGATTTTTCATTTTTAGGTGTATAAAGAACAGCATACCAACATGAGCAGACTCTTTTTGCTATCTTTGTTTCTAATATCTTTATATTTTCTAGCTGTTTAATATTTATGATCAAGTTTGTCAAGCTCAGAGTTTACATGGAGCCTTAGTAAATTTGAATTGTAAAACTGTAAGAGTTTACATTCTTCAAAAATATTATTTAAAAAACTTCTTTTATCAAAGAAAATATAAAAAAACACTTCGTAGCCAAACATAAATAAATAGTATATTCATAATTAATATTGAAAATTCCATTTTTATAACAGAGCAAATGAAAAAAAAAAAAAAAACTAAAAACGTAACCAATACAATACTTGACCAAGCTATAATACTATACTTGGCTTCACAGAAACATTAATTGGTACTTTGGCAAAACAGACAAAATATTATTAGGTTCATAAACTCAATAGATAATGCATAGCAGAAGTAACTCAAGTACCCAGCAAAATCCACCAAAACCGTGCATTTTTAGGCCAAAACTATGTGTAAATTCAAACTTGTACACTTGTTATTAGAATCGAGAGTTTACCCATGTTGTCAGTGTTTACTTAAACTCATATGGGTTTGACAAAAAATAGTTTGCATGCGAGTTAAGTTGTTTTTTAGCCTATGATCATACACTCATTGGAGTCTAAGAGTTAATTTAAGAGTTTGAAAACCATCTTTACGATGTGTGGCTAATGTTTCTATCATGGAGTCCAATGTTTCAGGTTCATGAAAATGCATATCTTAGTGACTTCCACCACTGCTTTTCTCTGGCATCAAATTCTTCTGGTATGTGTGCTGAGGCAATTTTGTTATATTAGTCAATGCCTAATGTTTGTTTTATGTTCTTAATCCCTTATTTTGACCTACCAAGGTGCAGATTCTAAAACCTCGTCAGTTAGTGATGCAGATAGCCCAGTAATAGTCCTAGCATATGTGTTTTGCCTAGACATAAGGAAATTGGTGAAATAATATTCAGTGGTTAACTAGTTATTGATTGTAGGCTACAAGCCTACAATCCATTCAAAAGACATTGTTACTTCGTATTCTAAAAGATGTTTGGATACATATGTTACGGTCATGTTCTTATTATGGAAAGGTTATAGTTGTAGGCCTTTTGTTACAAATATTTTCTGATTTTGTGCTATTTATAGCTATTTAGATGAAATCTGCTCTTTTTCATGTATTGAAGCAGAGACAAATAGTACCATCACTGAAGCAAGACTTAATGGCATCAATGTTGTTGTTGGGAGGTGAAATATTAATGAGATTGCTTCTTTAAGTTGAGACTAATGATTGCAGTTTCTTGCTATAGCTTAGCAGTTGAACTTCTTATCCCTTGTTTGACAGGCAAGGTGAATCATGTAATACAGTTTGCAAATTAAGAGGACAATCATGTGTCTCAAATAAACTTGTGGTGCTAAATCATTGTGACATGTAAGTGATGTATTGAATTTGTGTTCTAAATTCTGTTGGTGATATTTTTCAATGGTACTTTGTGTAATTTATCCACACTGTGCATGAGCTGTATAATTTTATTAACTTGCATGGTTTTCATCTGCACCAGGCATATCTACAATCTTTTTTGGATTGCCACTTTTTGTTTCTCCTTTGAATAAATAATCTAGAATCCCTTTATTCATGCTTGGTGGTAACATGCACACCATGGATAACGTCTTGGCACACAAAGCAATATTGAGTGAGGAAGGCTCATGCATGCATGCAGATATTTGTTTGTTTTCTTTTAATGCACTCATCTTAACAATTGGTCTGGATTATGTGGGCAGTATTCAGAAATATATGAGCTGCAGGGGAGCTTGCTTCGCAAGTGTAGGAACAGATCAACCTGCTGAAGTTGTTCATGATGCCCCTAAGCATATGGTAATAGTCGTATCATGATTTAAGAAAATAATTAATATGCTAGGTTCCAGAAACTGATTAAACTTTTATCAAGCAAACCAATTTGAGGACATTTGTGACTAATATTTGCTTTGCTTTATTTCCAGAATCCAGGATCATGTTTATACACTCAAACACAATCTATACTTTCTTGTGATGGTTTACATCAGCATACAAGGAGACTGTGCCCCTGTGCATAGTATTTGCCTGGTAAATCTTGGCCCCTTTAACATTGTTTATTTTTGTCCACATGATGACAAATATTAAAATAGCTTTCTTTCAGTTTGCAATTGAAAAGAAAAAGAATTCCGTGGAACTAAGGTCAAGTATGGCGCAATCTCTCTGGTAATGCTGAGTTCGGTGACTAATTTCCTTGAGGTGGGAAAGTATCCAATTTGTGTTGCAAAACACACTTTGTTTTTGTTACATCTGATGTATTAGATTTCGTAATACTAGAAGGGTTGGTGTCGAAGGAGGCAATTATTGTTTTGATGCTACGGAGAAGGAGGCAACTCGTGTAAATCATCAACCCTGGGAAATTATAGATCTCATCATTTGCCTTTATGTTGTAAAATTTAGTTGATTGATCATTCCTCACAAAATTTTGAAAGAAGACTCCTTTAGGTTGTATTTGGAAGTTTTAGAGAGAATGAGAAAACATAGTAGGCCAAATGAAAAAAAATTACTTTCCTAACGGAAGAAATGAGATGGCAAAATGTTGCAAGTATAAAGTTTAAGATTTTAACGTTTATCATGTTGTAGGAGATAAATTTATCTCTTACACACGTAAAAGTGTGTGAGATCCATGTCCTTCAAAGTGAGAAGAAAAGAGAAAATATGAATTTTACTTATTTTTATGTATATATAAGAGATAAATTTATTTTTTATAACATAAGAAACAATAAATCCAAATTTTAATATAAATTCGTATTCACTTTTTCTTAGAAGGAATTTAACTTATGGTCATGGAGCACAGTAATAAATGCTAAATTTTTAAAGAAAAATAAAGCTATTCACCTTTATTACTCCAATTTGGGGAGGAACATAAAGTGGGAGAGAGAAGGATTCTCTCTTCCCTTTTATAAACTTCTAAATTTCCGAACGTCTTTTTTGTTTTCTTTTTCTAATTCGTTTCTTTCAAACAAGTTCTTGGCAAAAGAATAGTTTAACTCACGCATGTTTACACACCCAATTGCTGTGCATTTGCCTAGTTTTCAAAATATGTTTTTTTTTTTATGTTATATGAGATAATTTTATCTCACAACACATAAATATAAAAAGTTGGTGGTGGAATTGACTTTTTTTTCTTTTCTTTAGTGATTTTTTTTATTGCATGAAACAATATAAATTATCTCATACAACATTATAATCATATTTCCCTTTGATTATATTTTCTCCCAGTCGAACACTTTTGTATAAGTTGTGCGCTCGCATTATTCTTAATTAAAAAAAACTGAAAAGTATCTGTAGCATTATTCTTAATAACTGCAGCAATCAATTTTTGTCTATACAGAAAGAGTTGTGTTGCAAGTTACAACTGAATTAGCAATTGTCATGATTAAAACGGACGGAGAAAACAAGAAGCCAGGCTTTACTGTTTGTCCATTATGTGCACAAGAATTTACATAACAGCTTTAACAGCAGTTCACACCACATAAGTAGGACAACTAATGAAAGAGTTTGTAAATGGCAGTTAGCCTATAAAGGCAAAGGAAATTTAAATAAGCTCTAGAGAAGGATGTAAAGTAGTACATTGATAAAAAAAAAAAAATGAAAAAGGGAACAAAAGGAGAAAAAAAGAAAAGAAAAGAAAACCAAGCACCAACTTTCATTGGTTGATAATAAGTTAATAATTACTATAATATAGGTGAAATTTAAGACCCAAATTAAATTACATTCTGTGTGCACTTAGAGAGTGTATGGTAAACTTGACAAAACTCAGAAGCTATAGTCTGGTTTGAAGATCCTCTGAGCCAATGGCTTTGTTGTTGAGCTATTATCCTTCAATCCCGTGAGTGCCCCATTGTTGTTGTTGTTGTCAAGTGCATCTTCACCACCCTCTTCCTCGACTGCATCGAAAGCTGGATGGTTAAGAATGTTGTAGAGCAACTGTGTCCCTCTAAGCGCGTTTGTCAAAGGCAAATGACCCTCTGGGGTGTCATCACTGAGTTCCCACACAAACTCAGAGGGAAAGGACCTATAGTTGTATTGTTCCATCTCAGTATCAAGCTTCTTCATCCAACGAACCTTGATGAAGAATCTGGTGAAGTCCCTTTTAGCCTTTTCAAATATTCTCTTTTGAACGCTGTAGCCAAACCTGTTTTCGCTATGCTCCCTCCACAGTTCATCAATGGTTTTGAGGTCAGTTTCTGAGATGAATTGGACCTCCGAGAAGAACACATAGCCACGCTTCTGAGCAGGTTCGCCGGCAAGGACGATGAGAAGGCGGCGAGTCTCTTCATCCGCTTGCTGGAAGTTTTTTGCTGAGAGAAGCTGACGGAGGTGTTCAAAGGAGATTGTTTGAGAAGTTGATGGGGTGGAAGAAGTTGTTTGGGAAAGAGAGAAGGTAACAGAGGAGTTGTTGGAAGAAGAATGAGAATTTGAAGGAGTTAAGAAAGAGTAGTGAGATAGGGTGATGTTGGTGTTGATGGTTGTGGGTTTGAGGAAGAGTGAGGTAGAATGTGTTGGTGGAGAGGTCTCAGAAGAAGGGTGGTGGCGTTTGATGAGAGAATGGTGGTGTTGTTGAATTGAATGGAGAGAATTTGTTGCCATTTAGTTCAGAGACTACAATCTTGTTAATTTAGTACGTCTAAAGGATGAGAAGTGATGAAAGAGTAAAAGAAGAATGAATGAGAGAAGGAAGATTTTGAAGCTTTGATATGGGGCAGTGTGTGAGATGTTGGTAGAATGCTTGGTAGTAGGAGATAAGGAATATGTGGGGGTGGGGAGAGACTCTCAAGTGCTCATCAAAAGTAATATAATACGAGTTTGTGATTGGCTGGATTTGGGTGAGGCTAGATCACCCCCCCTTTGCCCCCACCTCTCTCTCCCTCCCTCTCTCCACAATTAATTTTTTTTTTAATAAACAACATGTATCTTCTTTCACGTCGATGATACTTGGAAGGATCGAACACATGTTCTCACTCTCACATGTTCTGGGATGGATGATCTCCTGGAAAGTTTTTCCGAGAAGTGTGCGGGTGACCTCCTGAGAAGTTTTCTTGAAAAGTGTGCGAGTGAGAAAAAAGCACACTGAGTAGTCTCGTGTTAGTATGTGGGGATAATCATTGATTCTTGAAGCGGCCGAACGTTATAAGTGGTATCAAGACCTCTATTCCAGTACGGTGTGGTTCGAGGACGAACCAGGCAGAAGCTGGTGGACATGTAACATTTCGAACGCTGACGAGAGGACGAATCAGGTGGAAGCTCTCATATACCATCTGAGCCACTCTACCACCATTTAGTAGGACAATTAATTTCTTTCACCATGAAATATACTTATTTTGTTCTCTTTTCTTAGAAACAAAATAATGTGACGGGATAACCTCCACCCTTCTGTGTTTGTAACTTTAAGTTTCCTATACAACAAGTCAAATGAAAGGCAATGAAAAGGCTAAGTAAATATATAAACTATGAAGAAAAGTATAAACAAATTGTTTTTGGGTTTTATAAGAATTATGTTGTAGGAAAAATGATTGTGTAATGTTATAGAGATTCGTTTTGCGTGCCTTAATTTTTTATTTATTTTTTTGTTTTAAAAAGTGTGGGGCCTACAAAATATTGTGAGTGTAGAAAAGTTTGTTGTGTTATGTTAAAGGATAAAACGAAAACCCATTGTTTTTTTGTTTTGTTTTGGCTCTCCTCCAATCATTCTCATTTAATTTCATGCACAACACTAGTGTTTTGCAATTTTCATGCCCGTCCTATATGAATATAAGATATTGTTGTGTTTTACGAATTAGTCTTTGGGTCCCACTAACACCCATACAATTTCTTGATTAGTATAAGACAAAATAGTTATCCAATTTTTATTCGGATTTAATTTTTTCATGTTATAGGAGATAAAATTATTTTCTATATACATATAAAGTATGTGAGGCTTATTTTCTTTTTCTTCATCTTACGTGGACTCACATCGGCTCCACACACTTTTATTATTTTTTATATATAGGAGATAAAATTATCTTTTATAATATAAGAACCATTAATCCTTTCAGTATTAAATCTACAATATCTAATTTTCTAAATTTTTGATATCATCACTAAACATGGCATACCCCTCTTGTATTGTATGGTACGGTGTGGTCCAATTTGCTGGATTCATCATATTCACTATTGATCAGATCAAGTACAATATGGGCTGGCCAAAGTGTACTGAGTCAAATCACACACGGTTGAAGTGAGAAGGCTTTTGAATAATCTGTCTTCTGGGCTAGTTGATGTTGATGATAAGACTTAGGTTCTCTTTCGGCGCGGTGAGCCTGACTGGGGGTACCTGCAATGACATTCCGACGCTCAAGTCAGTATCAATGTCAGGTTTATGTGTATTCTTACCGAATTAGATGATCATACCTGTGCATGTACCCTCTGCTTATATAATAGTTCTGATGCCGTCTTAAAAATTTCAAAGGCGCGGTGGTCCTTTATTAGTTCCTGAGCTTGCTTCCTTATCTCTGAAGTTATGTTAAAGGGCGGTTACATGCGCGATGGTGGCTTTGCATTATGTTATGCGTGATGTAAGCCATCGCGCCACACTCTGGGCTTTGTGGGTTTGAGCCTTTGTTCTATGTATTTGGACCTCTAATGAGCCTATAATATTTTATCCGGATCAACTATATTCATCATCAACAATACAAGACACCTCATATACACAGGTAAATTGTTGAACTCTTAGCAATCGAATTATACACAACTAGAACTTATTCATAATGTTTTCCCTCAAGAGGAATACACTATTAACACAAATATTTATCTCTAGTAGAATAATCGGTTCTTTATACCAAGATCCTCAAGCTGATAGAAAGAGTAACAATCAATCTCCTTGGTGGTTGTACATTTAGACCTATCACTTTACACTTAAGAACAATGTGTAATTTACATATCTCGGACAAAAAAAAAAAATCTGCGTAGTTTATGGGATGACTAGCAGTGGGTTGTTCTTTATATGTGGGTGTCTTTTGTTGTGACTTGTAACATTACAATGAAGCAAATAAGGTAGTGGCATTTACACGCTCTTATGCACACACCTTTTTTTCACACTTGTTTGATATATTAAGGTTACTTGGTACAGTGGCAGACTCAAGAAATTTTTTTTATGTTTGCACACTCAGGGCGAAGGTTTGGGGGTGCCGCCCACTTTTTTTTTAAAGATCATAATCATGATCCAATTTTTTGCTTCCACTTCAAAAGTAAAGTTTTGGTGAATCAACCAAAGTTTTAAGAAAATAATCAATAATGATAATTAAAAAATAAATAAACACCACAAAAAGACATTTGTAAAATATAGTATAATTGTAGGGGTTAATTGATCAAAAACCCACATTTGTCGATGTCTATTTGATCCAAAGTTGACCAGTTTTGTTTCATAAAAAAACATGAAAAATCCTGGGCTATTTGACCCTTATTAAATAATTAATATCCATTTTGCCCTTTATTCAGAAATATCTATCAATCTGCTCCTCTTTAATCGATTAACTTGAAGATTTAATCGATTAAATGGTCAAAACTGGAAAAAAATGGTTGACTTAAAAATTTAATCGATTAAATCTTCAAGTTAATCGATTAAGTCTCCCTCTTAATTTATTTAATCGATTAAAACTTATATTTAATCGATTAAATATCTCAAATGAGTAATCAGCTCTTATTAAATACAAAACACAATCAACTCCTATTATTAAATACAAAACACAATCACCTCCTATTAAATAAAAAACGTAATCAGCTCCTATTAAATACAAAACACAATCAACTCCTATTAAATACAAAACGCAATCAGCTCCTATTAATTACAAATCGCAATCAACTCCTATTACATTAAATTCAAAATTCAAATAACATCCAATACACGGAAAAATGATTGAAGATTCTGCTAAGTATTATATTAAATTCAAGATGTGCAATCAACTCCTTTTGTTTATGGAGGAGATTTGACCTTTGTGCCTGTTGCGATTTGATAGGAGCTGATTGTGTTTTGTATTTAATAATAAGAGTTGATTGTGTTTTGTATTTAATAAGAGCTGACTGCGTTTTATTAAGAGTTGCCATTTTACGAGTTGGTATCAATGCTTTTACGCTCGTTTGAGATATTTAATCGATTAAATATAAGTTTTAATCGATTAAATAAATTAAGAGAGAGATTTAATCGATTAAATCTTCAAGTTAATCGATTAAAGAGGGGCGGATTGGTAGATAATTCTGAGTAAGGGGCAAAATGGTTATTAATTAATTAATAAGGAGTAAAAGGGTCAAAAAGTCAAAAATCTTGTGTGATTCTCCTCCACTCTTTACCTTTTTTCTTTTAATCTTCTTATTTTTTTTTACTTGACTTGAATCACACACTCTATGTAAAATTTTTTTTCCCTCAACTTTATGTCTGCAAGTGCAGACAATGACAACCACCTAGGTCGGCCATTGCCTTGGTATCACTGTTTTTCACACTTTGATGGTCCTTTGCTATAAAATATTAGTTTATCTCGCATAATAATCATATTGAGTGGAAAGTTAACATAATGTTTTGGCGTGTAATTGGGATATTTGTCTATCCCTTATATAAATGCATGATCATTGATGAAAGTTCTATGATAATATACTCAATGGATTTGAACCCTTTATTGAGCCAAAGGGTATCTTTAGTATTTCCGTCAAACTGAGTAATGAATACTATTCTCATTTAAAATGAAATTAGAGACTATATATTTCCAAAAATACATAAACATAATATTAGAGTTATTTTTTTTCCTCAAGAAATGTATCAACACAAAAATTGTGTTTTATTGGTAAGATGTAAATACCACGGTAGCATATTAAATATTTTCCTATATTTGATGCTCACGTTTAATTGTGCATTGGTAAAAGCCCATCAACAAAGAGCAATTCCAATGGGCAAATGCTACTACGACTCACCTTGGGAAATTCGGTGTGCCCGCTCAGTTTTGGGCCTTACATTGTCTAATGATAATTTCCGTGGTTACATGTAAGCCCAAGATAAGTTTTCTTAGTAAGTATATGATTAACTTTATGAATAAATTTTCTGATATCTAAATTTCATAATACGAAAGAAAATCTAAATTTATATTTTTAATAATAAATTAACTGTCACAACACCAAATTAGCATAGAAACGACGCTTTTTTTTCTCTCTCTCTCTCTCACTAATATACAATAATTTATGCTTATAATTTTTTTTTAAAAAGGTATTTATATTTATAAAATTGTTATTAAAGATAATCAATATTCTATGCAATTAATTAATTATTTTTCATTAAAAATTATAAATGGTGTTAAATATTCTTTTATGATTAGAAGAGAATTTATTCCTAAGATTATTTATACTCTTATCCAATCGTTTGATATGAAATTCCACTGATCCAATTCAAATAAAGTGGGGAATGAATCTTTTATGTATAAATTTTAGGAGAGATTATATTTATTATTATTTTTTTATTATCTCTTACTACTAAATCTTAACCGTTGATTTTTATCAATTTAACGGTTATAATGTATTAGATAACATCAATTAATTAATTATTAACTTTCAATCATTATAACTATTAAATTGATAAAAATTGTAATTAAGATTTGATAATTAAAAATAATAAAAAAGAGAAAGGTTATAGTTATTACTTGTTACTACCAAATTTTAACCGTTAGTTCTTATCAATTAATTAATAAGTGTGACCCAAAATTTTAAATCATATTATTTTATACAGTATAAGTTACATTTTTTTATTTTAACCGTTAATGCTATCGTGGAGTAGAATGGAGTGTAAAGACTAAAGAGTAGTCATGCAGGTGGAATGAAGCGCCAACAAATTGGTCATCGCTGACGTTATATCTCATTTTACCAAACCAAAATATCGCCGCCTCCATCTTTCATTCATTCATTCATTCGTTCAGTTTCATTTTCGAAAACCCTCTTTTTCCCACCCACAGTGCTGATTGCAATTGGATTGAGTTGAGAATGGGGCACAGTTCGAAGAAGAAGAAGAAGCATGGAGGAGGAGGAGGAGGAGGGAGTGGACGTAGGAGTAAAGGAAGAGCACCTTCCACAGATCATGCTTCTCAATTCGGCGTCGATGATAACGAGCAGCTTTCCGAAGAGATTACTGCATTGTAAGCTTTCTTTGCTACTCAATTTCGAATGCATTTTTTTTTCTACTAAAATTGATCATTGTGTTGCTTGTTTCTTTAGATGTGCAATTTTTCAAGAGGACTGCAAGGTTCTTCCTGGATCTCCTCCTCAAGTAGTCATTAAGCTCAGGTTTGTTTCATTTCATAATTCATATGATAAGAGTGCACATACCATACCATATCACTCACCATTTTTATATATCTTGTTGATTGGTTTTCGTTTCTGCTTGAAATTGAGCAGGCCCTACTCAAAGGACATGGGCTATGAAGATGTAGATGTTTCTGCTGCTCTTGTTGTTAGGTGAGTGAGCCTTTACTTGGTTTTTTTTTCCCCTTTCCTTTTTCTAAATGTGTTTGCGATGCCAATTACCATCTCTCTTTCTCTCTCTCTGTGTGTAGGTACTTACCTGGATATCCCTTCAAGTGTCCAAAGTTGCAGGTTACTCCTGAGAATGGCTTATCTGAAACTGATGCTCATCGTCTTTTGTCTCTCCTCCTTGATCAGGTCTAAGCTCATGCCTGTCTCACCTTTGGGAATAAACTCTTGTCTCTTGTTAACTTGTTATGTACTCTTTGTGTGGTAACGTTGCGATCATATTTACGGCAAGGATGAAATTATGGTTATCGTATTTTGATCCTTTTTGTGGCTAAATGTGTATACTTAGGAGCAAATAGAGCAAGCATGTCTTTTGGTGGCAAGGTTGATAGGAAGGGAAACAGTTACCACAAGTGGGGAAATTTATATATAATCTTAAAAACATGATTTGTAGAATTTCTAATGAAAAACTGAGGTAGGATTGAAGATTGAGGTATATGGAATAATGGAACCAGAATGGCTGGATGCTGGATAATAAATTGAGTATACCACCATATGATTTTACTTTGAAATCTGCAGGGTTAGTTTTTGCTTTAATTCCTCAAAATATCATTGTTTCTCTTGCTGGAGAGAGGAATTGAAATGTGAGTTATTCAAGAGGAATTTTCTAGAAATGGTTCGGTTAGTCTTTTTCTGTCTTGTTTTTTTAGTTTGAGTGGATATATTTTTGTGTAATGTTCATGGCTTCTCTTTGACGTTAAGCTCAGATAAATTTTTAATCCTCCTATATTACATAGACGTACGTGGCATTATAAATGAAGTTGCCAAGAAAATGGGTGTAAATGCAGTTAGCTGAATCCATGTGTTGTAATTTAAGTGGGTGTAGAATGTACTATAGCACAACTAACAATTTACCCATTGAGCTCATTGCCATTTGCCTGTTTCAATTAAGGGATTTGCTATTTCTAATATGCAGAGAAGCTGAGAAACCTTCTCTCGTTCTTGATTTTATCCCTCCCTTGTACTTCTTGTATTTTTATTTTTTTTGGGGAAGGAGAGGGGGGGGGGGGGGGGGGGGGGGGGGGGGGGGGGGGGGGGGGGGGGGGGGGGGTTGTGTGTGCCTGTTTTCCTACTTTTGAGTAGTCTTGTTGTCCCCCTATTTGTATTTCCCACTTTTTCTCTCTAATATATATATATATTCTAATAAAAAATTCATTGTTGTGACAGCTGCTATTCTCTCCCTGCATCTGCCTTTACCCTCTTCCCTGGCCTCTATGTTGCTTATTTAGAAGGAGTAAAATGTACTTTACTTATATTTTGTTTTGCATTCTGTTCTTGTTTCAGGCTAATTTAAATGCTAGGGAGGGACGAGTAATGATCTTTAATTTAGTTGAGGCAGCCCAAGAATTTCTGTCTGGAATTGAGCCAATTGCCAAATCAACTGAATCTGTGAGCTTACCATTCCATATTTTCTATTGTTATTCATTCATTTTATTATTATTCACTGAACCTTTTTTATCAAAAACAATATTATAATAGAAAATCAAAATAGGATTTAAGAAGTCAGGGTTGATGTTCTTTAATTTCTGTATTTACTGTGATCATTTCTGATTTTATTCCTGCTAAAAGTTCGACTGGAATTTATTTTATAATTGTTGATATTTTACTCATGCTGTCATATAATTTTTGATCATTTGTTTTTGTTGAGATATATAAAACCATTAAAAAGCCCTCACCCACCAGCTTAAGCTTTTGGGTCGAATTGGTTCTTTACATGGTATCAGAGCCTCGTGTCCCGGGTTCGAACCTCGCCGTCACCCACTTTATTTCTAGTGGAATTTCTTTCTTCGCACAGGTAGGTGGGCCTGTGCATTATCCACCCTTCAAGCCCAGTGGGCTCTTGTGTGAGGGGACGTGTTGAGATATATAAAACCATTAAAAAGCCCTCACCCACCAGCTTAAGCTTTTGGGTCGAATTGGTTCTTTACAGTTTTTAAGAAGTTATTTTGTTGCTTAAACGGACTGTTGTATGTTTTTATCCTCTGTTTGTAGAACATTTTACAGTCAACTATGGAAAGCACTGAAGAATCGTTTCTCAAGGATATGTCATCTTCAAATAAGAATAGAACCTTTGTTTATGGTTTCATAGACCTTTTCAGTGGCTATGGAGAGTCATGGACTTGGGGTTTTGGAATGGATGAAATTTCTGGAAAAAATTCTTCTCTTCCTCCCTCGAAGTTAGATTCCTCAAAACCACGTTTTGAGGCCCGGGAAAAGAAATCTGATAGTAAGGAAAAACCGTTAATAATGGAAGAACTTCCTGCCAAACTAGATACTGTTGGAGAAGTGAGCGAAGACAGTAAAAATAGCTTATTTTTGACTCATTCAAGTAGATCTCTGGTGGATGATTTTGCAGGGAATGACAATGAAGGTGAGAAAGAGGTAATATAAAGGACATGATTTGCTTCTTGTAACTTCTCCATGTTCTGTTTGTTTCTTTGTTTCACTTCAGTCTGTTGTTATCTTTTGTTCCTATATCTTCTATATTAATGTCTCAATTAGGGCAATAGTTTTAATCAGCATTCATTGTTAAAGTCATTATTTCTATTAGGCCAGAATTATGTTGCTAACGGTCAAAATTGATGAGTGTTTCAATTATTTTTGGATTTTTGTTGGTTATGATAAAGGTAATTGATTCTGAAGGGAAAAAGTTGACAATTTGAGTGGATAGTACATACTTGTTAGTTATTATGTAAGATTCATGAAAGGTTTAATACCCAAGATTGTTGAATTTTAATTTGGCACAGGGAGATGTTGAATGCAGATCAGGTTATTTAGAAGTTATCAACTTTTTTGTTGGGTGGATCTGTTAAGTATTTTTGTTTGAAATCATTGTGCAATAACTGAGTTAAAAGCAGAAAATGGTAACTTAAAAGCTGGTAAAAATTTTAACATTATATGTCTGTGTATGTCATACTATGTGAAGATATGCTAAATAACTATTCATCAGTCTTGGAAAGAATAGCCGTACTTGGCTGGTATTTTTTCACTCAGACCTTACCTAGATTATTAGTCTCTTACTGTTCATAAGAGATATCCATATTTTTTCCAACAAACTTACTAAAGATAATTCAAGATGGATATTTATGATGAAATTCCTTGAATTGTTGCAATGTGCCTCCATTCTTAGGATGGATGGCTAATTGTTCATGTTTCATTGATATTTAGAAATTTTGTTGTTCTTTTCTTGGTACCATTGTTATTGGCTTGCATCTGTTTATGTCAACACCTTTATTTTCTATCTATGCACCTGCAGTATTTTATCGTTGATGAGTATACAACAGACGATAATGAAGGTATGTATGAAAGTGAGTCTTCAGAGTCTTTGTCTTCTCATCACCAACCATCTGAAATAGTTGCAAAGGATCTAATAATGGTAAAAATCATTTATCTTATCAGCTTGTCACATGGGAATTCTGCTTAGCATTGATTTGGTTTTTCTTCCTTTTGCATTAGGTTCACATGCTTCGCCTTGTTTGTGCTTCCAAAGGAACACTGGCTGACTCTTTGCCACAAGTAGCAACAGAGTTGTATAATTTAGGGGTATAAAAAAGATTAGGTTCCCAAAAATAAAAATATTATTACTAGAATTTTTAAATATTGTCTGTCCTACAATGATCCTAATCCTTTTGAGTAATATTCCCAGATCTTTTCTGACTCGGCACGTGATATGGCCACTCAACCGCATTCGCTTTTCAACAAAACCTTTGATCATGTTTTCCAGAAACACATGGTTGGCAAACCCATAGGAACATGTATTCTCTTTCTCAACACTAAATTTGTTATTTATTTGTATAACTTATTTATTTGTCTAGGCTTCATCCAAAACATCTCAATTTTGGAAACCTTCTGATCTTGGAGGCTCAACCCACAGTTCTCGATATTTGAATGATTTTGAGGAGCTACAGTCTCTTGGTAAAGGAACTTCGTGGATTTCTGTTTGAGTTATATGTGTGCATATGTATATATGTTATTCTGTGATGTTATACTCTTGATTGCCTGTCCTTTGTGTTTGTTGGAAATGATAACAGTAGTTATTATAGCTTTGGAAACAATAGGAATTTATGAAGCATTGGGAACATTAGGATCTTAGAAAATAGTCCAATTCTTTATTATTCTTCTAAATATAAGTTTATTTACTTTTGCATGTATGTAATTAATAATATGCTGAGTGCAAAATACGAAAGCAATTCACAAAAATCGCTCTTGAAATTTATTCTCAAGTGTGCTATTGGGATTTCAGTAATTGGAAAATATTGGTAAGGCTGTAAGATTAAGAGCATACTTGAATCAGCTTTGTTTTTAGACAGAAATCTTATCAGGATATAGGCGGGTAATATTTTGTCAGCACTTCTCACAGACTACATGTATCGTAATCATTCATCCTATATTGCATCATGTTCCTCACAAAAAGTCTATGGATAGGATCCATTGGGTTGAGGTTGGATAATATGAAGTGCCATTCTAATCAGCGGTATGAAGGGATAAACCTTAATTTTCTATTTTGTTGTATGGCTATTGATGGTGATGAGTCTACTTCTTCAGGTTTTCTAGTAATTTGGACTTGCGATCTTGAAAATAAGGAGTGGAATAATTCCTTCTTGCTTGATTGGTTTTAGAAATTGTGCTTTGAATTGTAAAGGAAAGGTCTGGCAGGCCTAGTTTTGCTAGAAATTAGATTGTCATCCAACTTTTCCTTAAGTGGACCTTTTTGCTCTGAAGACACTAGGGAGTTATTTGAAGGTTTTAAGCTATTCAGAGAAAGTCCCAATTCTCTATTACTTCATTAGTTGCTCATCTTCTGTGTACTGTTCTTTTCTGTGCATGGTCTAAAGTTTTTTGGAGTGTATTTATAAGGAAATAGTACACCTATTTGCTTCAGCGCCCCCCCCCCCCCTTCTTTTTTTTCCCTCTTATGCTAACAGAAACTTTTTATTTATTTATAGTTTATCTGCTTCTTTGGAAATAATGCTTTATTCTTTTTGGCTATTGGATGAAGTATTTCAGTGAGTATATTTCATTTTTATAATCCTTTACTGAAAGGTTTTGCTTGGCATTGGAAACAGGTCATGGTGGTTTTGGCCATGTTGTGTTGTGCAAAAATAAACTCGATGGAAGGCAGTATGCAGTAAAGAAAATTCGCCTAAAAGACAAAAGCATGCCTGACCGAATATTAAGGTAAAATTTATTTTTAGTAAGCTAGGAAGGAGCTTGTTATAGCCTTAGCAAAACTAACCACTTTTTAATGTGTAATTTTGTTAATAGTGTCAATAGTTCAGTGCATGATTAAGTATCTAAAGTCCTTTCAATCATATTGATTAATATTGGAAAATTTTACCTGATCTGGTTGTTGCAACTAGAAATTCTTCAATTTGTTATTATAAAGTGGGTGGGATTGTTCATCTGCACTTTTTAATCCAACTCCTGCATGCTGCAATTTATGATTAACATTGAGGTATGGAAACAGTATTTTGATGCAGTAACCATAATTGTTATTGAAACTTTACCCTCTTTGTAAGTGCAGGATAGGTTTTATTCTTTGAAATAAAATGAGTTGTTTTGATCCTAGGGAAAGTATAAATGGGTAGTTTAAAAGCTTACTAATCTAATAAAATATTAATTGTTATGATGTTTGAAGATGTGCTGGCGAACTAATCATGTCAAGTTGTCAAAATTTTCACTCATTCTTTTCTTTACAGCCCAACTTTCTCAACAATGTATTGTAGGATGTGTGGTAGAGCTATCTAGCTTCAACTGTTCTTTTGATGACTCTTTGGGCACAATTTTGCATTTCTTCTACCCCTCTTAGTTTCTGAGGTTGATCTTCTTCAATCTGATTGTCAATTCAAATTATGGATCCGAGATACTGAAATCACTTACATTAACTCTCTTTTGCCCATCAATACAAAACATTTCTTCCTTCCTTCGGTCTTACTAATGTTGTATTGCTGCTTAACCTTACTTGTTTAAACTTTGTATCTCAGTGTTCTCAAACTTATTTAAGTCCTATAAAGCTGCATCAACTAGTATGTCTTGTATGTTAAACTATATTAAAGAATTCAAGATAGAGTTTAGAGCTGATATTTGATGTAATCATAGGTTCAGAGTATAGGTTATGTGATGCAAGATGGAGGCCAGTTGAAAAGAGAATGGAAAAAGAAAAGTTTGAGAAAAGATGTTTTGGCCATATTTACTCGATTGTTGACAATATTCCAGTTGAAAAGAGAACTAGGGGAAGAGCAAGTACAACTTGCAAATCAATATGTTTGCTAGGGCCTAGTGCGTTATAGCTTCTCTTTGCACTGTATAAGGACTTTTCTTTCTTTCTTCTGGATCAATTTAATTTCAGTATGGAGTTATAAAGCCAATTTCAGTTATCTTGTATATTGTCTTATCTCATGTTTTAATGTTATACATTTCCCTTTATGTTGGCCTCCACATATCACTTCTTTTTACATGCGTGTTGGAAAATATAAATGAAAGTGATTTCAATATTTGACTACTGTCAGTTACTCAGTTGTATCTATTTGCGTATCTGTTTCTTCTGTTTTCCTGTATCACTTTTGTAAATTGCCATTTCTTACTTGTTTATCCATCTATCTATGGTGAGAAAATCAGGGAAGTAGCTACACTTTCTCGTTTACAGCATCAACATGTTGTTCGGTATTATCAGGTACAAACTTTCTTATTTTGTGTGCCATTTTACTTATTAATGAAACACTTTCTGTTTCTTGTATCTTTTTTTAATTCCATTTGTTTCCACATTTACTGTACATTTTATTATTTTTTGGCTGTCCAATGCTGGGCTTTTGGATATGGTAATTTGTAGTGAATACTGCTTTGATTTATATTCCAAGAGGGACACAGTTACTGGAAGAGTCTATGAGTAGAGATGCAAATATAAACTTTCTTTTTTCTATTTCCACAATATGATATGCTTATATGGTGATTTTAATAACTGTAAAACTTACAGGCATGGTTTGAAACTGGAGTTGCTGATTCTTATGGTGATCCTGCTTGGGGTTCAAGGACTCCAGGGAGCTCTACTTTCAGCTATAAAGCTGCAAGCTCCAACAATGCCTTTGGGCATGAGAATCAGCTTGAATCAACATACCTTTATATACAAATGGAGTACTGTCCTGGGTAAGATTTTCAGTGAGTTCTATTGTTAATGTGCAGATTTATTTGAAAGACTACAAACTATCAGGGACTTGCTAGGGTACTCTACTAGTTTATATTTAGGATTATTGTGATTTTCTAAATAGAGATCATTTGAGAAAGTCTAGCTTTATCTTTGTTTCGTTGATGTTTGTCTTTCTTTTTTATTCTTTGTTTTTCATATTTTCCTTTAATGTGTAGGAGGATTCCTTTTCCTCCGAATTGTTTTATTATATTTTCCTATTGATTTTCTTTTATTAAAAATTTAAAAATAGGATCTTGCCCTTTAGCATTTTATGTAGTATCATTGATTGTAAGTTTTGGGTGTGAAAGTTGGAGCATTTATTACTCAAGGAGAATTTGCTTTGCTGTTAGAGGCTTGGAGCAATTGCTTGTGACTAGGCATTCAAAATGTCTACATACTAATAAAATGGTAAAAGATGAGGTGGTGTCTTCGGTCTGTATCTTCTTGATGAGCAAACTTTAAAATTTGACTACTTAAACCATTTTTGGGTCTTTGTTTAATAACTTAAGCTTTGGTGTCAATACTTTCTTCTATATGGTAACAAATCCTTCTTAAATAGTGTAGTCACAAGCCTGTCTTTTGTACATGTTTCAAGTCCAGTGCCCTCCTCCGAAGGCATGTTGGAGAAAGATTGTTTCTAAGTAGAAAATTATTGTTCCTTTGTTTAACAATTTAGGCTTTTAGGTCAAGTGATCCTTTGGTTAAAACCATTGATTAGGAGGTTGTCACATGAAATCATAGTGATTTCATAGGCTAAGTTGGAGTGTTGCATGCGGCCTAGCTGGCTTGGTGGAAATTTCTTAACCATCTACTCAAGAACCTCTAAATATTTCGGTTATTGGAGTCTTGGGCAGTTATATTTGCAAATTAATAACAATTAGAATCTAAGTCTCTAGACAATCTTACTCTCAAATTCTGTCTGCTGCCTAGAATGTTATTGACTCTGCAATCTCTTCTCTCTCTCCCCTGATAACTTAATCTACATAATTTCTGTTTTTTTCTTTTTGAATTTGGTTCTGCAATTATTCATTATTGGAATTCATAAATTATTAGCAACAAACAAATAGAGGTAATGGGAGTAGATAGTGGAGACAAGAGTTAGTTTTTGAACTCATTGGATACTATATATACAATTATACATGCAAACACAAGCTCATAAGCACACTCATGATTGTCTCATATGTTTTATTCACTATATTTCATTTTTTTTTTCTTTTGGGGGTGGGTTTGTCGGACTTAAAGGACTCTTCGCCAGGTGTTTGAATCATATAATAATTTTGACAAAGAATCGGCATGGCATTTGTTTCGCCAAATAGTGGAAGGCTTGGTACACATACATGGGCAAGGGATTATTCATCGGGACTTAACACCAAGTAACATATTCTTTGATGCACGCAATGATATTAAAATTGGTGATTTTGGTCTCGGTAAGATCTTGAATTCATTAATTCTTCATTTTCTTTCTCTTCGCATGTGTTTCCAATATTTACTCTATCTTGCTTATTGTAACAAAGGATAACTTCAATATATGTGAATGATGTTCATGAATTTATCTGAATATATGACAGGCTTAGAAAACTGTAAGCTGGTAAGATTTCTTATTGCATTTTGGTTTGCATATGCAAAGTTTGTTTATCAATGTATTGGTATTTTTATATTCGCGGTTAAGGTCATTCGTAAATGCCTGCACATGAATGCACATTTTCCTGGATTGGTGCTCCAGTATGTAACATTATCCTGTAACTTTATCAATGTAACATGTGTGCACAGTAACAATATGTACCTATCTTAGTGTGGTTTCCCTGTTTTTGAATTCAATTTAAAAAATGATATAAAACATGCCTTTTTAAAGTCTAAGCCTTCTACTCTGGCGGGGAGTAGTGATTGTTTGTGGATGGAATATCAAAGTTTCTGCTGCTCTTTTTTCTTTTCAGCCAAGTTCTTGAAGTTGGAGCAACTGGATCAAGATCTGAACCATCCTGCTGTTACGACTGGAGTTTCCATTGATGGCACTGGACAAGTTGGGACGTACTTCTATACAGCTCCTGAAATTGAGCAAGGATGGCCCAAGATTGATGAAAAGGTGTAAAGCATTCACCATTCTTTCATTCCAACCAGTTGTTTTATACTTGTTCACATCCTCTACAACCACATAATCTGTTTACTTTAAGACACATTATGCAATTCTTTGGTTTACATGAGCTACAGGCTGATATGTACAGCTTAGGAGTGGTTTTCTTTGAGCTTTGGCACCCATTTGGAACAGCAATGGAGAGACATGTTGTTTTATCTGACCTGAAACAAAAAGGGGAGCTTCCTCCTGCTTGGGTTGCTGAGTTTCCAGAACAGGAATCGTTATTGCGGCGGTTAATGTCTCCGGGTCCTTCAGATCGCCCTTCTGCCACAGAACTTAAAAATGCACTTCCCCCGCGAATGGAATCCGAATTATTGGATGGCAAGTGATTATGACCTTTGTTATGCATTCTGATACCGTATTCTTGTATAGAACCTACATAGTGAACATTGTTATCAATCGAAAGAATTCATTGCATTATCCCACTAGGTAGGGCTAGCTACATGGATCAAACAATGCCATTAGGCTATCAATCAAAAATAAAGAAATGGAAAATTGTAGATCAGTCATGAATCCTGATTCACGAGTCATGTTTAAACATATTTTTTTTTTTTTCACATTGTGCAGCTCATGAACCTTGTGCATACTCATCAATTTTTGTTCAAAGGTGGTCTGAAAATTTTGAAGTTACTAATTTTGATGTCATTATGCACATGTGATTATAATTGTTCTTATCTAGAGGTTTTGATTTATGGTCTGGTGAGAGTTGCATAGGTTTGGAAATATATTCCTTATATATATATATATATATTTTTTTTGTTAGAGAAATACAATATTAATGTAGCCTCACCTAATAGCTTAAGCTTTTGGGTTGAATTGATGCTTTACATGGTATTAAAGTCTATTTGATTAAGTGGTCACGAGTTCAATCCTCACCGTATCCCTTCTATTAATAAATAATTAAATATTGTGGAATTTCTTAACATAGGTAGGAAGGATCTATACATTGTCCACACTTCAAGCCTAGTGGACTCTTGTGTGAGTGGACATATTAAATAAATATAATATAAAAGCCATTAATGTAGCTTCACTTGACAACTTAAGCTTTAGGGTTGAATTGACGCTTTACATATATATATATACTTTTTTTCTTTTTGAAAAGAGTATCTCAGCAAAGTACATATTTCATTCTGTTGATGGTCTGACTATTTATGAATATGAAAAAAAAATTATGAGACCCAAGGAGTACAAAAATAGAAACAGTCAGATGATCTTGATAAGTACAGTTAATAATGCAAATTGAAATGTCATGGTAAAATAAGCTTGGTAGTACAGACAACTGACATCTAAGAACTATATGTCCTTCTCTGGAGTTAGTTTTAACATATATATTTGTTTTTAAAAACAGTTTCTTGCTTTGTCTTGAATAAGTGATAGTTCTCTATGTTCAGATATCCTACGAACAATGCAGAAATCAGAGGATACAAGCATATATGATAAAGTTTTAAATGCCATCTTTGATGAAGAGATGTTAAGCACAAAACACATTCGCCATGTTGGTGGATTGGGGTCAGTTGGAGAAAACAGTTCATCCATTCTGTACCCAGATTTTCAAACTGAGGTTCGAGATTATGTTGCAGATGTCAACAGGGAAATTTTCAGGCAGCATTGCGCAAAGCACCTAGAAATTTTAACAATGCGATTATTGGATGGTTGTCAACAGTTTAATAGGTCAATATTCGTTTACTACTTTTGATGTAATTCTTTGTGGACTTGACAGCCTAGATAAAAGATTTCTGGTTTTGATTTTTGTTGAGTAGAAATGCAGTTAAACTTCTGACCCATGGAGGAGACATGCTTGAACTTTGCCACGAGCTGCGTTTGCCTTTTGTGAACTGGATTATATCTAACCAGGTACTGGATATTTTAGCTTTATTTTATTTTTTCCGTTTTTATTCAACTATACCTCATCATGCTTAAATAAGTTAAATTTGACAGCAATTGCATATAAGATGGTCAATATTGTAATGATTGATATACCATTGAAGTAAGGAGTTTTGGATTTTGCTGTAATATTGGATTTGTGGATGTAAAATTTCTCGTGTGGGGTTGTTGTATAGTTTTCCAATAATGCTCTAAGTAGATAGAGAACAATATGCTTTTGTAATATCAGTGTTATAAATATAATAAAATCCATTGATGTATCTTCACCTAACAACTTAATCTTTTTGGATAGTCAGTTCATGATTTGGTGTCAAAGCCTCTAGACCAGGTGGCTCACAATTCAATCCTTGTCGTCTCCATTTTTCTAATAAAAAGAGGAATTGAACAAGGTAGTGTTGGGCTTCCTCCTTCAATGCTAAGCCCAAGCCCATTAAGGGGTTTTCCTAAAAACCCTAACCCTAGATCTCACCTCCTCTATATATTCATTAGTTGAGGGTGGAGGCTAGGTTAAAAGATCAGAGAGAAAATTTGAGAGAATTATTTGAGAGGTTTGAGCAAAGCTTTATGCTTTGCATTTGAGAGATCTCTAGAGAGAGTTTGAGTGAAACATCTCTAGGATAGTTTGATTATCGCCATTGTTGGAGAGGTTGAGTTAACCACCACATTGTTGTATTCTGATTATTTGTAACCATTATTTTCATAGTGGATTTTTGATCTGGACTAGGTTCCGTGGGTTTTTACTTCTTCATTGAAGAAGGTTTTCCCACGTTAAATCTGGTTGTGTTCTTCTTCTCTTTCTCCTATTTTTCGTTTTGATTTTTCCGCTGCGCTGCCCGACCTGGTGAAGTTCAGGCCGAGGTATTGCCGAGATCCGAGATCAAGGATCTTGTTGATTGACTTCCGCACAAAGGCCCCTGAGCCGATCTGAGGGAACCGAGTTCCCAACAGTAGTATCAAATCCCGAGTTCGACGGGTTCTGAAGGAGACGAGATGGAGACCAGTGGCATAACCAATGTGTTGGGAAATCGATTCCCTCAAGCTCGGCTAAGCAGCCTTTGTGCGGAAGTCAATCAACAAGATCCTGATCTCGGATCTCGGCAATACCTCGGCCTGAACTTCACCAGGTCGGGCAGCGCAGCGGAAAAATCAAAACGAAAAATCACAAAACAGGAGAGAGAGAAGAAGAACACAACCAGATTTAACGTGGGAAAACCTTCTTCAATGAAGAAGTAAAAACCCACGGGACCTAGTCCAGATCAAAAATCCACTATGAAAATAATGGTTACAAATAATCAGAATCACCAATGTGGTGGTTAACTCAACCTCTCCAACAATGGTGATAATCAAACTACCCTAGAGATGTTTCACTCAAACTCTCTCTAGAGATCTCTCAAATGCAAAGCATAAAGCTTTGCTCAAACAATCAAATAATTATCTCTCAAATTTTCTCTCTCATTCTCTTATCCTAGCCTCCACCCACAACTAATGAATATATAGAGGAGGTGAGATCTAGGGTTAGGATTTTTAGGAAACCCCTCAATAGGCTTGGGCTTAGCATTGAAGGAGGAAGCCCAACAAATCTCCCCCTTCCGACTTCAATGCGTCGGCTTCAGCATCAACCCGGCTCCTTCACAGCAGTCTTCAAATTTTCTTGTTGGAACCGGCTTCGTCATCATGTCGGACCAATTTTGGTCAGTGTGCACCTTGACGAGTTCGAGCTCTCCACCTTCCACCACATCCCGGATCCAGTGATACCTCACATCAATATGCTTAGTGCGGGAGTGATAGGTTGAATTCTTCGCAAGATGGATTGCGCTTTGATTGTCACAACCCAGCTCGTACTTGTCTTGATCATGGCCGAGTTCCATGAGGAACTTCTTCATCCACAGCATCTCTTTGCTTGCCTCAGTAGCGGCAATGTACTCAGCCTCAATTGTCGATAGTGCAACACATTTCTGAAGTCTTGATTGCCAAGAGACAGCTCCTCCGGCAAATCTCATCAAATATCCTGTAGTCGACTTCCTCGAGTCGGCGTCTCCCCCTAAATCAGAATCCGAGTAGCCTTGTAACTCGGCTTTGCCTTCTCCAAATCGGAGACATAAGTCGGTCGTACCTCGGAGGTACTTGAAGATCCACTTCACTGCTTCCCAGTGCTCTTTGCCGGGGTTTGACAAATACCGGCTTACCATTCCAACAGCATACGCCAAGTCGGGTCTAGTGCAAACCATTGCATACATCAAGCTTCCGACGACGGATTGGTACGGGACCTTCATCATCTCATCTTTGTCTTCATCAGATCTCGGACATTGCTTCTGGTTCAGCTTTATGTGTCCGGCTAAGGGGGTGCTCACTGTTTTGGCTTTGTCCATGCTGAATCTCTTCAGAATCTTCTCAATATATTTCTCTTGACTTAGCCACAGTAGCTTCTTCTGTCTATCTCGGATAATCTTGATTCCGAGTATCTGCTTTGCAGGGCCGAGGTCCTTCATTGCGAAGGACGAGCTCAACGCCTTTTTCAGGGCGACTATCCTCGATTTGTCTTTCCCTACAATAAACATGTCGTCAACATATAACAAAAAAATCAGGAAATCTCCTGCCTCATACTCTTCACAAATACGCAGTGGTCGGCTTCTGTCTTTTCAAACTTGTGAACAGTCATGAATGATTCAAACTTCTTGTACCACTGCCGAGGTGCTTGCTTCAAGCCATAGAGTCTCTTCTTCAACCGACATACCAAGTCTTCTTGGTCTGGAGCTCGGAACCCTTCAGGTTGCTCCATATATATTTCTTCTTCTAAGTCACCGTGAAGAAATGCTGTCTTCACGTCCATTTGTTCTACCTCGAGGTCTATCGAAGCCACCATGGCTAACACGGTTCGGACCGAGGTTATTTTCACCACAGGAGAAAAAATATCCTCAAAATCTACTCCTTTCTTCTGATTGCAGCCTTTCACTACAATCCGGGCTTTGTATCTCGGCTTCTGCCCATTCTCTTCATTCTTAATCTTGTAGACCCATTTATTTTTCAAAGCTCGTCTACCTTTAGGCAACTCGGTCAGCTCATAAGTCTGATTCTCGTGCAGAGACTTCATCTCATCTTGCATTGCCTTTTCCCATTCTTCTTTCTCTGAGCTTGTCACAGCCTCATCATAACTCTGAGGCTCACCGTCTTCAGCAACAACGATGTATTCATCAGATGGGGTACCTTGTAGAGGGTCTTCTTTCTCGAGTTGGATATCTCGGCTGTTCTTCAGCTTGAGAACCCGGTTCATCATTTTCATCCCGGATCTCATCATCATCTCGGACATCAGTGTCTTGGTCATCTTCAGCTTGTTGCTGATCATCAATTTCTTCATTTTCTTGATTTTCTCCCCCTGCTTCAGCTCGGACAGGAGGGATGGGTTCTTCACGACTGACAGTAACCCGGACTTTGGGCTTCGAGATGTCATGAATGTTCTCATGCTCATGAAATATCACATCTCGGCTTCTCATTATCTTCTTATTGATTGGATCCCAAAGTCGGAACCCGAACTCACATCTCGGCGAACCAAGATAAATGCATTCTTTGATCTTTGCATCAAGTTTGGCCCTTTCATCTTTAGGGATATGCACGAAAGCTCGGCATCCAAACACTTTCAGTTGATTATAGGCCGCTTTCCGACCTGTCCAGGCTTCTTCTGGAATTTCTCCTTCAAGTGGCCGTGATGGTGAGAGGTTGATTAAATCAACAGCAGTTTTGACGGCTTCTCCCCAGAATGATTTCGGCAATCCGGCATTGGATAACATGCTTCGGACCTTCTCTTCAATAGTTCTGTTCATCCTCTCAGCAAGTCCATTCAACTGTGGAGTCTTGGGGGGCGTCTTCTCAAGTCGGATCCCGGCCGCTCTGCAGTATGCATCAAATGGGCCGCAATACTCTCCACCATTGTCAGATCGGACCACCTTCATTTTCTTGCCAGTCTCCCTTTCAACCATCGCATGGAATTCTTTAAAGGATTGGAGTACCTGGTCTTTAGTCCTCAACAAATATACCCACACTTTGCGGGAATGGTCATCAATAAATGAAACAAAGTACTGACGAGGTCAAGAATATTCCTTCGTCTTCTTGGTTGATCCGGTCTCACAAAAGAAACCCGGTGCTGCTTTCCAGCTAGGCAATGTGTGCAACTCTCCAACGCTTGACCTTTCAACCCAAGCTGTAATTCTTTCTTGTGCAGGATTTGGAGCCCTTTCACACTCATGTGGCCGAGGCGCTTGTGCCATAGCTCCAAGCTTGGCTCATCTCGGACAGCATTGGCTTCTCCGCCATTGATCTTTCCTTGCATCACGTACAAGGAGCCTTCCTTCTTACCTCGGGCCACGACCAAGTTTCCCTTGGCCAGCTTCCATCTAACACTACTAAAGTAGTTCACTAACCCGGCATCATCAAGTTTGCCTACCGAGATTAGGTTCAAACGCATGTCAGGAACATGCCTTACATCTTTCAACACAAGTCGGCATCCGACATCCGTGGTCAGAGTTACATCACCGACACCAACAATCTTGCTAGTCACTTGACTTCCCATCTTCACGACTCCAAAATCACCACCTCGGTAAGAGGAGAAAAAACCCTTGTGTGGAGTAATGTGGAAGTAGGCACCAGAGTCAACAATCCAGGTGCAGTCATCATATGCAACATTCAAATAATTATCCTCACCAAGGAGGAATATCTCGGCATTCGAGTTTGCAGCCACCGCAGTGGTGCTCTTGTCTTCCTTCTTCTTGGGAATAATCTGATCCGGCTTCACAGAGCCGTTCTTCTCATCATTCTGCAGGGTCCAGCAGTCTGGCTTCTTATGGCCTGTCTTTCCACAGTAGAAACACATCAACTCATATTTCGGCTTTGACCGACCTCTGGACTTTTCTCGTCTATCACGACCTCTACCCCGGCTCTTGCTTCTACCCCGGGAGTCGGATTTCCCTTTGTTCTCA